ATGATGATGATGATGATGGTGATGGTGATGATGATGATGATGATTATGATGATGATGCTGATGATGATGATGATGATGATACTGATTTGGATGATGATGCTGATGCCCATGATGATGCTGATGCTGATGCTGTTGCTGCTGCTGCTGATGATGATGATGATTATGATGATGATGCTGATGATGATGCTGATGATACTGATTTGGATGATGATGCTGATGCCCATGATGATGATGCTGATGCTGATGCTGATGCTGTTGCTGCTGCTGCTGCTGCTGCTGCTGATGATGATGATGATGATGATGATGATGATGATGATGATGATGATGATGATGATGATGAGTATGATGATGATGATGATGATGATGATGATGATGATGATGATGATGATGATGATGATGATGATGATGATGATGATGATGATGATGATGATGCTGAGGAGGAGGAGGCGGAGGAGGAGGAAGAGGAGGAGGAGAAGGAGGAGGATGAGGACCAGTGTAAAACCAAGACCCATCAACGATGTTGCAAACAAGTCTCCCTCGAAGTTCCCTCTTCATGGGCCTCTACAACAATTTGGTTGATGGCATTCGGCCCATCCCGCCACCGTGCCTGGGTTGTGGGTCAGAGTCTCCGCTCTCGGGGGCCTCTTGGAGGCAGTTTTGGGGTCTCTTGGGTGCCTCCCGGTTGCCTCTTCGGGGTCTCTTCGGGGCCTCCTGGGGCCTCTTGTGGGCGCTTGGGCCCTCTCGGGTACCTTTTGAGGGTCTCTTGGGGCCTCCTGGGGTCCCCTCGGGACCGAGGTCTCGGAATGTACGTGGGGTCACCATCTGGGCCCCCTCTTGGAGCCGTCTCAGGGGCCCCTTGGGCCGCCTTGAGCGCCTCTTGTGTCGTCTTGGGGCCCTCTCACGTAGGCCGTTTTGGGGCCCTCTTGGAGGCCTCTTCGGCCGTCTTGGGGCGATCTTGGGGGCCTCTTGGCCCAGGCGAGAACGCCAACATCCTTCAACAACCCAAGGCTACTTCATGTTTTTTTGCCTCTTGGGGCCCTCTTGGGAAGGCATTTGGGGCCCTCTTGGGGCTCTCTTGAGGCGTCTCGGAGGCTTTGTGGGCCGTCCATGGGCCGTCCATGGGGCGATCTTTGGGCGTCTGGGGGGACCCACCCTCTTGTGCCGTCTTGTAGGCCTCTTGGGGCCCTCTTGCCTTGTCTTTGCGCCCAGATCGGCCCGAGAAAGTCATGCGGGCAGACGATCCAAGGCCCACTGGGGCATGCGGGTGAGCCCAGGGGAACCGCGGCAAGCCCAAGAACATTCGTGAATTCGGGGTCCGGGAACCTTACGAACCCGCAGGATCGAGGATTAAGGCTAAATGAAGTGGGCAAAGAACCTGAGGACACGCCCACTCCACGCCCAGCTGCACGGTGGCGGATTGTCATTGCGGGAAGTACCCCATTGAAAGATAGCCGCCTGAGAGTCCTCAACTTTACCAGAACGCCATTCCTGGGACTTCAACGCCGCCAATCAACGTGGCTGTTGCGCCCTGACAATCCTAGGTCGCGTCAGAGCACCAGCCCTAGGGCTTCACCACCGCGAACCAACGTTACGGTTGCGTCCTGGCAATCTTAAATCGTACCAGTAACACGCTAGTCCTGGGACTTCAAGCTTATGATCCTTACAGTTGCTGCAAACTGTTAAGACGAATGCGCACGGCGTGAAGGCGAAAGCAACATTTTTAAAACCACCCGCCACCCATCCTTGAAACTGTTGCGCATTTTAAGACGATTGTGCGCGGCGCTGAGGCGGGAACAACTTTTTTTCAAAGGACCCGCCCTCCATCCTTAAGTCCGTTGCATTATTTTGAGACGAGCGTGCGCGAAGCGAAGGCGTCGGCCCCATTTTGAAAACCGCCCACCCTCCATCCTTGAAGCTGTTGCACGTTTTAGCTTCAGGACCACAAATGGTGAGAAGGTCTCAGGCCAAACGCCTGGCCCGCTCTACCGACGCGTCTGCGGGTGCGAGAGGGAGGAGTTTTTGAATAGGGAAATGGGATGGAGGAGGAGGAGAAGAGGAGGAGGAGGTGGAGGAGGAGGAGGAGGGAGGACGAGGAGAAAAACGACGATGAGGAGGAGGAGGAGGAGGAGGAGGAGGAGGAGGAGGAGGAGGAGGAGGCGGGAGGAGGAGGACGAAAGGGAGGAGGAGGAGGAGGAGGAGAGGAGGAGGAGGAGGAGGAGGAGGAGAGGAGGAGGAGGAGGAGGAGGAGGAGGAGGAGGAGGGAGGAGGAGGAGGAGGAGGAGTTGGGAGGAGTGAGGAGGAGTAATGAGATTGGCTCTGCCCCCGCCCCCGCCCCACCGCCGCAGTCAGCACCGGAGCCTGTTCCGCGAGTTCTTCAACCCGTCTTTTCAGAAGACGCTGGCCCTCGTGGACTTCGGCGGCGCGCAGAACCCCTCCTCCTCCTCCTTCCTCCTCCTCCTCCCTCCTCCTCCTCCTCTCTCCTCCTCCTCCTCCTCCTCCTCCCCTCCTCCTCCTCTCTCGTCCTCCCCTCCTCCTCCTCCTCCTCCTCCACCTCCTCCTCCGCCTTCTGACTCCCCCTTCTCCTCCTAGTGCTCATTTTGGCTCAAGCAGTGCGCCGCAGGCCCCGCCGCCTTTCCGCCTTTCCTGGGTACGCTGACGGGGATTGAGCTTCGTGGCGTTGTGGAGGTCGCCCGAGGAGCCCTCCTCGCAGCTCATGCCGCCTCCGGCCTGGCGGCCTCCTTCGGCCGCCCGCCTGCTGCGGCCCGCGGAGGGCCTGCTGCTGCGCGCGCCGGTCGCTGACCTCGCCACGAAGCAGGCCGCGTTGGCGGCGGAGGCGACGCCGTCCGACCCTGGCGCTTGCGCGCGGCGCCTACAGAGGCGGCCGCGCGGGCGCGGCCGCGCCAGGGGAGGCGCACGGCGCAGACAGATGCGGCCGCGCAGGCGCGGCCGGGCCGGGGGAGGCGCGGCCGAGCTGGGCCGCGGGCCGCCGCGCTGCCCAGGGGTGGCCCCCGGCCCAGGCGGCCGCGGCGCCGCCCGCGAGGCAGCAGGCCGAGCACGCGATGACGGCGGCAGCAGGGCTGACGCCCTGCCCCCGAGGCGAGCGGGGGCCGCCGCCGCGGGAGCGGGCGATCGCGAAGCAGCGGCCGCCGCGCTGCCCGAGGCTCGGCTGGAGGCGGGAGCTGCGGGCGCTGGGCGCGGAGGTGGGCGCTGCTGGGCGTGCTGACCTCGCTCGGCGCCTCGTCCTGGCCTCCGGGTGGCCCATCGACGACGTCGGCGTGGAGCTCCGCCGCGCCATGCTGGTGGTGTTCAATGTGTTCGGCGGCCCGCGGACGCAGGGGGCCCTGGGAGTGCCTCTTCAGGGGCTCCGCGGTGCTCATGTGAGCCGTTTTTCTGGCCCCTCGCCGCCGCCCTCCCTTCCTCCGCCCCCTCCGCCTCGACCTTTTCAGCGGCTCCGCGGTCCTCGCCGCCGCCCCCGCCCTCCGTCCCCTGTCCGCCTCCAGATGGGCCGTGGAGCGAGCGTATTTTCCCCCTGGGGTCTCCTGACCAAGTCATTTTTTGATGTTGCACGGACATGGATATGCATATGTGATTGTTGCGTTCTGCCTGACCGAAACCTCCCCCTTCTCCTCTTCCTCTTTCCTCTTTCCTCCCCCATTTCTTTCTCCTCATCATCCTGCCCTCCTCCTCCTCCTCCTCCTCCTTCTCCTCCTCCTCCCCCTCCCCCTCCCCCTCCTCCTCCTCCTCCTCCTCCTCCTCCTTCAGGTCTGGGATGTTTTGGGTGACCGGTTTCGAGTTGATTCGTGTCATGGGCGGGAGGGCTGGGGCAGCATTCCAAGAAGACAGGGGGCCTGTCAGAAGGGCCTTGTCCTTTCTCAGAGGCTTCGAATGATATATCATTGGAAGGCATGGGGTTCTAAGGGGGAGGGTGCTTTCTTAGCAGGCCGTCCCCGTCGCCCTATTAGTCAAACCGCATCATGCGGATGAGCAATTTGCCAGAGGTAATTGCCCTTGCATCCTTGTCATTTCGGCCCGCCCTTGGTCGCCGCCGTTGGCCAGCCCCACAAAGTGGCTTCAGCTTGAGTGTCCGGTGGCCTCGCATCTTTACGCGCGCCTCCCCGTGAGATCCTGTCGCGCTGTACCCCCCGAGTGCGCGCCGACGAGGATGAGCAGAAGAAGGAGAGCTTCCTCAAGCTCATAGAGAGGCCCTTCCGCCCGGCTCCCGCCGCCGCCGCCGCACCTCGCGCGGCTGGTGCCGTGGCACGGGGCGCCGGTGGATCCCTAGGGGGGCGGAGAGGGATGCGGAGGGAGGCTTGGCATCGCTCGGACGTGTGCATTTTTTCTCGGCGAGGACCATCGAGGAGCATGTTTGATCATATAGCGAAAGAAACGCACGAAATCGAAAAATGCACGGGGAATGGACGTCCGAGCGATGGCGAGGAGGAGGGTGAGCGACAGGAGGAGGTGCCCCAGGATCACCCGTGGACAAAGACAGCGGTAAATCGTCCCATGGCAGGCCCCAGCTGCAGCTGACTGGTTGTCGCTTGCTTGGTTTGCTCAAGCTAGACATCTTCATTCGGGCCTGATTGTTCCCAACCATCCTGTGGTGTTGGGTTTTCGTTTTGAAGAGACGGTTCCCGCGTTCCTCCTTCCGCCTCCCTCCCCCCTCCTCCCCCTCCCCCTCTCCTCCTCCTCCCTCGTCTCTGCGCTTCGCCCACCCAGTACAGCGTTTCGTGGCCCCATAGGGAGCTCCACCGAAGATCCAGGTGGGACCGCCCACAGCGTCAACCATCACCCAGCTCAGCCCTTCCTCCCTGCGTTCCACCCGCCCAGTACAGCGTTTCGTGGCCCCATAAGGGGGCTCGCCCGCATGCGTCAACCACTACCCAGCGCAGCCTTTCCTCCCTGCGTTTCACCCATCCACCCAGTACAGCGTTTCGTGGTCCCAGAGAGAGCTCCACCGAAGGTCCCAGTGTGACCGCCCGATGCGTCAGCCACCACCCAGAACAGTCTTTCCTCCCTGCGTTTCACCCACACAGCAAGCGCTTCGTGGCCCCAGAGAGAGCTCCATCGAAGGTCCCACTGGGACCGCCCGCATGCGTCAGCCACCACCCAGAACAGCCTTTCCTCCTTGCGTTTCACCCACCCAGTCTAGCTTTTCGTGGCCCCAGAGGGAGCTCCACCGAAGGTCCCAGTGGGACCGCCCGCATGCGTCAACCCCTCCCCAGCACAGCCTTTCCTCCTTGCGTCTCGCCCACCCAGTACAGCGGTTCATGGCCCCATAAAGGGGGTTCCCCCGAAGGTTCCAGTGGGACCGCTCGCATGCGTCAACCATCACCCAGCACAGCCCTTCTTCCCTGCGATTCACCTACCCAGTGCAGCTCTTCGTGGCCCCAGAGGGAGCTCCACCGAAGGTCCCAAGTGACACCGCCCGCATGCGTCAACCACCACCCAGCACAGCTTTTCGTGGCCCCATGGGGGGCTCCACCGAAGGCCCCAGTGGCACCGCCCGCATGCGCCAGCCACCACCCAGCACAGCTTTTCGTGGCCCCATGGGGGGCTCCACCGAAGGCCCCAGTGACACCGCCCGCATGCGCCAGCCACCCAGTACAGCGTTTCGTGGCCCCATAGGGAACTCCACCGATGGTCCCAGTGGGACCGCCCGAATGCGTCAGCCACCACCCAGTAGAGCGTTTCGTGGCCCCATAAGGAGCTCCACAGAAAGACCCGAGTGGCACCGCCCGCATGCGCCTTCCACCACCCAGTATTCCATTTCGCGGCCTCAGTGATTGGGAGCTCCACCAAGCCCCTGTGGCACCGCCCGCATGCGTTTCCCCCCGCCCGGTACAGCGTTTCGTGGCCCCGTAGGGAGCTCCAGTGGTCCGCCCGCAGCCGACCCCCCACCCAGTGCAGCGTTTCGTGGGCCCATAGGGAGCCCTACCGAAGGCCCCCTTGGCATCGCCCGCATGCGTCCCCCCTCCTAGTACAGCGTTTCGTGGCCCCTTCGGGGGCCCAACCGAAGCCCCCAATGGCACCGCCCGCATGCGTCGGCCACTGCCCAGCACAGCGTTTCGTGGCCCCGTAGGGAGCTCCACAGAAAGGCCCCAGTGGCACCGCTCGTGGCTCCATCGAGAGTTCCAGCGAAGGGCACCGCCCGCCTGCGTCCGCCACGCCCAGTACAGCGTCTCGTGGCCCATAGGGAGCCCCACCGAAGGCCCCAGTGGCACCGCCCGCATGCGTATCCCCCACCCATTTACGGCACGTCCCTCACGCGTTCCGTGGCCCTATAGGATGCTCCACCGAAAGCGGCACGCACAATCGCACATGGCTGGGCCCTTCGCCAGGCTGATCTTCACAGTTGCGGGTCCATTGGATGACACCTGGGCCAGTTCCCACAGCACGTGCCCCACATCGGAAAGCATGTGAAAAGGGTCCACTTCACGGGCGGGCACCGTGACCAGCCTGGAACATATCCCTATCCCTATGCCGGGCACCTCCCCATCACGATGCCAATCCTAGGGATCCCCTTCTTTTTTGAGGGCGAATCCCTAAGATGCCATCGCCTTTTGGCGTGCCAATCCTAGGGACAGGGATACGTTCGAGGCTGGGTAACACTGGGCGAAAACGTCGGCCGACTCGCCCCGCGCGCGCGGCGTCCACGCGGCGCCCACGCGCGGGCACCTCGTGAGGCCTCGGCTCCGCCGCCCCACCGCACGAGGCGCCCACGAGAGGTGCCCACTGGGCGGGCGCCAGGCGAGCCGCCCCGCGCACGAGGGGCCCCACGAGGCGCCCCGCGGGGCGCCCACGGGGCGGGCACCCGGTGAGGCCTCGGTGGAGCGATCCACCTCCTCACGCAGGGCTCGTTTCGCTTCCCCCGATTCGATTCGATCCGATTTCGATGGCCTCCGATTCCGATTCGATTCGACTTCGGACTCTGATTTGGGCTCCGATCTCTCAATGGAGGTCTGCTGGCCTGCCGATCTCCGTCGATTCGACTTTTCCCGACTCGACTGCCGATTTTCGCTGATCCGACACATTTCGATCGCCGATCCGACTTATCGATTCGATCCTGGGCTCTCCTGTCACGGAACAGAAGAAGCAGAGACCCGAAGTGCCAGCACCGCTGTGGGGACCGCATCCGTTCGGGGTGCTTTGTCTGCCAGAGGGGGCGAGGCTGGCCCGCCCGCACAGCAGCACGGTGCGAACCCTCAGCTATCCTTGAGGGTTTCGCCCCCTGCCGCCGGCCCCCTCTGCACGCGTCCCGGCGCCGCCTTGGCGCATCTGGGAATATCATGCGGGGGCGGATAGGAATCATCAGCGCATATTGAGACGTTGGCGCTATCGAAGACGCTTACGGCGAATCACCGCCGCCCCCTGCCTTCTAGAATCGCCCATGTGGCCGAGCGATGTGGCAAGAGCTCTGCCAAGCTATCGGACCATGTGTTCTCCCAGCGGTTGTGGAAACCCTTCGGGGAACACTTGGGGGAGGATGGCGGGGAAGATCAGGAGGAGGCCGGAGGAGGAGGTTCAGGAGGAGGAGGGGGTGGCATCTTGGGAGCCTCCGGGGACACTTTTGGGGCCTCGTGGGAGCTTCCTGAGAGCCTGTTGGAGGCATCTCGGGGACCCTCTTGGAGGCCTCTTTGGGGCCTTCGGGGGCTTCTCGGGGGCCTCTTTGGCCGTCCTGGTGGGTTCCTGGCTCGTCTGACGCCGTCGGAAGCCGTCTTGGGGGCCTATCTGGGCCGACTTGGGGCTCTCTTGGGGTGCTCCAGGGCCGTCTTGGAGGCTTTCTTGGGCGTCGTGGAGGCCCCTAATGCCCTTGGGCCGTCTTGGGGCACCTCCTGGGCGAGGGGGCCGTAGCTCCGCTTCCGCCCGCCGCTGCGCGTGCGAGCATGCGCGGGCTAGCGCGGCCGCAGGGATGCACCGGCCAACGCCGAGCGCTCCTTGTAGTCGCCGCCGCATGGGTTTTGCAAGCCAAATTGCGGGTGGGTGGGTGGGATGTTTGCAAGGGCGTGGGATTTGCCAACTCATCCCGTATAACAAAATAGCGTGCGCGCGCGTTTATCACGCATCAGCAGTTTTCAGGAATCCCCTGCCAACGATGGGACGAAGTGCGCGCGCTCGCGCGTCGTCGCGCGCGCATGCCAAAATGCCTCAGGAGCCTCATACTTCGCGTGGCTTTCAACACCGAGGGGCACCACACCATATAAAACACACGGTTTCGCAACAAGGATCTTCAACAAATGCATGTGCCCGCGCTCTTGCGAATTCTTAAGACATCGGGTTGTCAACATTTTTTTACAACATGCTATCAAATGGGCCTATCGCGCTCGCGCGTCGTTCGAGCGCCTTCTACGCGCGTGCTGTCGCAAGAATCCCTTGCAAGAAAAGGGGGCGAAGTGGACGCGCGCGCGTCGTCGCGCGCGCATGCCGGAATCCGTCAAGAACCTAAGGTTCCGGAAGGATTTCGAACACGAGTGTCCCGAAACCATACCAAAACACATGGTTTTGTAACATCCGTTCCAACAAAAAATCCTGCGATCGCAGTCTGGATTATTCTTAAGAAAACCATTGATTTTGAAACATTTTCATCAAATTCTGCCAAGCGGGCCTCTCGCGCCGCGTGTCGATTCTTTCGGGCGCCCCTGCGCGCGTGCTGGGGGGGGGGGCACGATCCGTGTCAAATCATATCACGCGGGCCACTGGCGCGCGTCAATTACTCCGACGGTAGGACCCCTCATGAGAATCTGTCTAGCTTGCCCTTTGCCCTTTCCCCCTCCCCCTGGCGCAATCCCTCCTCTCGCCCTCTGCTCTGCCCTCTCCTCCTCCTCCTCCTCCTTCTCCTCCTCCTCCTCCTCCTCCTCCTCCTCCTTCTATTTCTCATCATCCTTCTTTTCCTTGTCCTGCACCACCTCCACCTCATCATCACCCGCCCCCATGCCCCTGCTCTCCTCCTCGTCCTCCTCCTAATCTTCTCCACGTGCACCTCCCCTTCCCCCTGGTCGGGGCAAGCAAATCGATTTTCCTCGGCGCCGTCGCCGCGTCGGCCAGCACGCGCGCGTTTGCCGACGGCTAGATCGCGAAACCGTCGGGACAACCCTTCGGGCCAGGCCGTTGGGACAACCTCGCAGGCCGCAGGGGCGCGGGAGCCAGCCATTGGGACAACCCCGCGGGCCTCCAGGTGCGCGCCGCGGCGTTCAGGCGGGTGGCAGCACGAAGCCCAGCTCTGCCGCGAGCTGCTCCGCCTCAGCCCTGGAGTCCACCGCTCTCTTGTCGAACTCTTGGAGCGCCTTCCGCAGTGACGCCGGCGGCCCGCGCTCCAGGAACTCTCGCGCGGGCGGCCGCAGGATCAGCATGTTCCGCATGCGCGTGGCGCGGGAAAACATGACGTAGAGGTGCAGCCACCACATCTCGTCCGACATGCCCGTGCGGCCAGCGCAGTCGATGGTGACGCCCTTGCGCAGCGTCTGGCCCTGCGACAGCGTGGAGGTCAGGTAGGACGCGTGCGTCAGGGTGATCCCAGAGCGGCGCACACTGTGCGCCCCCGAGCTTTGCCACGTGAGCTCCTGTTCGCTGGGCCTGAACATGAGCAAGCTCCTCGCCCGCGCCTTGGCCTCGCCGTCGTCGTCGGCGGCATCGGCGCCCTGCTGCAGCACTTCGGCGACCTCCTTGGTGATCGGGGACTCCTGGAAGCCGTGCACCTGCAGCCAGATTCCCTGCGGTAGGTAGCGGGGGCGGAAAAGCTGGCCCGGCGCGCACTCCTCGTAGTCCCGCTCGTCGTCTGCGTGAAACTCGAAGGACACGATGGTGGCCCGTTGCTCCTGCACGAGGCCCAACTTCTTCTTCAGCTCCTCCTGCACGGCCGTGGACCGAACCTCCATGCCGACGTGTGCCGGTAAGACGCCGTGGATATCCCCCGTCTTGTGCATGTTGGGGACGTTCAGGAGGCGCCGGCTTGCGTCTGGGTCGCCCTTAATCGTGCCGCACTCGTCCACGGCCTGCAAGAAATCGAGGGGCACGCCCAGACGCCGAGCGTCGCGACGAGCACGCGTGTTGATCCACCCGGCAGCGTTTCCCAGTAGATGCCCATGCCGTAGCCGAGCAGAAAGTTCTCGTTCTGGTGCCGTGGGTCCAGGACGCCGTGGTTGTCAGAGGCCAACGTCTTCTCCCAGGCAGACCAGACCTCTGGTGGGAAGCGCTTGCCCTCGCGCATGCAGCCCAAGAGCGCGATCAGAGGGTCCCCTGGCTGGAAGCGCTATGTGCCCTTCAGCTCGAAGACGCAGGGGGTCTGAGAGAAGACCTTGATGGCGTGCTGGATCTCCACCGTCGGCGGCTCCGCGTACTTGTACGACCCGTCGTTTAGGAGCTCGTTCGCGTCCGTCAAGAGCCCGATGCTGCCGGTGGGCTTCAGCTGCAGGCGAATTCCCGAGGTGCAACACGATGGGGACGCGGCCGAAGTGGTGGTGCGGCCTCTTGTAGGTGGACTCCTGCGCGTCGTGCGTGTCAGTGCGCCCGTGGCAGGCGCGAAGGTCCAGCGCGTTGTACAGAGCAGCTGCCACCATGCTTGCCTCCTCGATGACCAGGACGCGGACGTGCTCCCACAACCACTGCAACCTCTTCTGCATGCCCCCCGGCTTCATTTTCGCGTTGATGTACTTCTGGACTCGCTGGGCGCAGGCGTTGTGCAGCGTTCTGGCCTTCACCGTCTCCGTGGAGATGTTCTTCGCCTGCGCGTTCGAGGAGGCCACGACCATCATGGCGCCGTTGTCCTGCGCCGACGAGGGCCGCAAATACTCCACCACTGGGAAGACGATCTTCTGCACCACGTGCGTCTTCCCCGAGCCGCGCCGGAGAGCACCGGAGGGCAGCATTGCGATGGGTTACCACCCCCGGCCCGGACGCAAGGGTTTCCCCCTGCGCCCGGCCGCCGCTTCGGCCGAGGATGGGTTACCACCCCCGGCCCGGACGCCAGGGTTTCCTCCTGCGCCCGGCCGCTGTCGTCCTCCTCAATTCCTGTTCCTCGTCCTCGTCCTCCTCCTCTTCCTCCTCCTGCGCCTCAGGTCCAGCTCGCATGCTTCGAGCTGGCTCAGCGCGGGGATTCCCGCGGGGACAGGCCGGCGGGCTCCCGCCTGACTTCCTCGCAAGTCACTCACAGACGAGGCTCCCGCTTGATACATCCTCCTTATTCAAGCCTTCCGGAGGCCATACGTGACGACAGCTACACGTTTCGGACGACCCGCCTCGGATTAAAAACATGAAGTGCGGGCCCCATAGGGAGAGGCTTCCCGCCTGAGACTTCGTCGCAATTCACTCACAGACGAGGCTACCGCTTGATACTTTTTCCAGATTCGCGCCACAGGGGCCCCAAAGTGACGACAGTTACACGTTTCGGATGACCCGCCTCGGATTACCAACATGAAGTTCGGGCCCCAGAAGGAGAGGGCTCCCGCCTGCGACTTCGTCGCAAATCACTCACAGACGAGGCTCCCGCCTTATATTTCCTCCTTATTCAAGCCTGAGGATCCCAAAAGTGACAACAGTTACAGGTTGGGGATGACCCGCTCGGATTACCAACGTGAGGTGCGGGACCCACAGGGAGGGGGCTCCCGCCTGAAACTTCCTCGCAATTCACTCGCAGACGAGGCTCCCGCTTGATACTTCCTCCATCGTGGGCTGTCTTGGGATGCCTTGCGGGCCGAGACCCTCGAGGGGCCATCTTGGGCGTCTTGGGGCACTTCTGGCCCTCTCGGGCTCTCTTGGAGCTCCCCCCAGGTGCTCTTGGGGAGCTCCACGGGAGTCCCGGAGCGCGCGCCCAGGAGTTCCAGCCTCCGCAGCCTGGACTTGCAGGGATGCTGCCAGTGTGCCTTTCTCATCCTGGGACCCCCAGGGGCCACTGCGCAAGCGCATGGAGTATGCAAGCAGCAACTCAGTACGGGATGTGAAAACGACCACAGCCACTGTTTTTCTTTTGTTGCCGCCTTCCAGCCAGCAGAAACAAAAGCAGTGGTTGTGGTCATTTTCGTCATGCTTGGCACCAGGGAAATGACCACAACCACTGCTTTTTCGGCCGGCTGGAAGGCGGCGCAAGCAAGAAACAATGGTTGTGGCCACTTTCCCGTCCCGCACTCAGACATTGGAGATTCCAGCATGCATCTGGTCCGTTTGGCCGGCGCGTCGTAGCGATGCCCTGGCGTGGCAGCCTGACGCAATTGCTTATCCGGTTCGGTTCGAGCATCCCGCGGAGGCGGAATTTGCAACGTTGGCGCAACTGGCTGCATCAACGTGGACGCAGGGTGCAGCCACGGACGTCCACTCAACGGCCACGTGTGTGCCGGCGGTTGCCTTGCAGCCATGGGCACACAACTGGTTGGGCACTGCTGGGCGGAGGCAGCGGAAAACCCCGAAGGGCAGAGTGAATCGGAGTATCGTGCCACCATGCAGTGAGCATTGGTTGCGATGTTCACGCTCTTCCTGCTCTGCTGCTCTAGGCAGGCCCGCCTGGCTGCGAGCAGCTCACCGCCCTCCCCTTCGAAGGGGCAACTTTTGCCGACAGGGGCGCGATTCGATTCGATCCGACGGCCGTCCTGCAGCCTGTGTTGTTTTGCAGCATCCGTGCGGCCACATGCTGAAGTTGCCACCGCAGTGCTCGAGCGGGAAGGGGCCCTCCTGGTTTTCCTGATCGTTGCCGTCGCTCTCCCACGCGCGCATTGTGTGAAGGCACGGCCAGGAATCTCATATCACAAAATGGTGCGCAAGCTCGTCTCCTGTGGCACCGGCCCCAGTTTGAATGGGCGCCTTCCATCCGTGCAACTGTTGCACAGTTTGGGAATCTGGGCCTTCTTTTGGATGGCATCAGAAACGAACTGCCTTTCATCCGTTCAATGGTTGGAATATTTTGAAACGGATGTGCTCGGCGTCAAGGGGATAGCCACATTTTGAAAATGAGCAGGCTTCCATCCTTGTGACAGTTCGAGGTTTATACGGCGAGTGTGCGAGAACGGCCCGCCATGTTTGCAACGTTGGAAACGGTGAGACGGTGGCACGCGGCGATACGGCGAGATCCGCATGTTGAAACCACGGGCATCTTTTGAAACCGCGAATTTGCGTGGCGCTAGGCGTTGGCCGCATTTGAGGTGAGAGCCACATTTTGGAAACCACTGGCCCACTGTCCTCATAATAAGGAGGAGGAGGAGGAAGAAGTGGAGGTGGACGAGGAGGAGGAGGAGGAGGAGGAGGAGGAGGGGGAGGAGGAGGAACAGCAGCAGGCACCTCTACAAGTTCGACGACGCGACGCAGCAGTTCCCCCTCGGCTGCCTCTGTGCCCTCCTCCTGCACGGGAAGGACCGCCGCCGCGCATCTCTCCGCGCGCCTGCCTCCACCCCTTCCTTGAGTGAAGGAGGAGGAGGAGGAGGTGGAGGAGGAGGAGGTGGAGGAGGAGGAGGAGGAGGAGCAGGAGGACGAGGAGGAAGACCAACCAATGGCTGCATGCGCCCTTGGTGTACCCTCCGTCTTGTCATCACCACTTCCTCCCAGCCTCCCCGCCTCCACCACTGGATGTACGCACTCTTCTCCTTCCTCCTGCTTTCCGTGCCCTTTCGCACTCCACACTCTCCTCTCTCTTCCTTGCTCATAGATGCCAGACCTGTCTCCTCATCCTCAACCTCCTCTTGAGCCATCCTACCTCGCAGCCCTACCTCATTGCCTGGCCAGCAGTGAGGCTGCTTGTCCGGCCAGCCTCCACCGAGGTCTGCATGCGGCCACCGGTCGTATTCAGAGGAATGAATCTCGGATGGTGCATCTTTCGCATGCTAGCCAGGAGCTATCGTCAGACATCAACTCCCTTGAGGCTGGCTCTAGCTGGTTTGAGCTGCAAGGTAGGTTCGCAGACGCCATCCAGCGCGTTGTTTTTGCATTTTTCTAAATCTGATGATACGGTTGTTCGGATGAATGCGGCTGCGCTCACCCCCATTTTTCCCTCCTGGCGTCCCGCAACAGGCGTGATGCGGAAGCTTCCCTTACGTTCCTGCCATCTTTTCCTCTACCCATTTTGGCTTCGCACTCTATGAAGTTTAACACGAGCCGTCTTGCTCCTCGGGGCGCATGCGGTCTCACAGCTTCTTCGGAACTTGCCGTCTTTGGAGATTCGTGATCATCAACCTCTTGTGGCATTCCATGTCAGGGGCGCCGAGCGGGGGGACTGCCTCGGGGAGGACGTCGACCCCTAATCGCCCATTCATCCCCGATCGTGCCTCGGGCAATTCACCCAACCCAGAAACGATCGGATTCGATACTGGGGGCCTGTTTTCGATTCATCGGTGATGTTTCGTCAGATCCAGGCCGATATCCTCCCCGAGCCAGACGGCGACGACGACGGCGGCAACGGCGGCGGCAGCGACGACAACGACGACGACGGCGGCGCCAGTGCCGACGCCGACGCCGACGCCGACGCCGACGGCGACGGCGACGACGACGATGGAGACGACGACGACGACGACGGCGACGACGACGACGACGGCGGCAACGGCAGCGGTGGCGACGACAACGACGACGGCGGCGCCAATGCCGACGCCGACGCCGACGCTGACGCCGACGCCGACGCCGACGCCGACGCCGACGCCGACGCCGACGCCGACGCCGACGCCGACGCAGGCGCCGACGCCGACGGCGACGCCGAAGCCGACGCCGACGCCCACGCCGACGCCGACGCCGACGCCGACGCCGACGCCCACGGCGACGACGACGATGAAGACGACGACGACGACGGCGACGACGACGACAGCGGCAACGGCGGCGGTGGCGACGACAACGCCGGCGCCGCCGCAAACGCCAACGCCGACGCCGACGTCGACGCCGACGCCGACGCCGACGCTGACGCTGACGCTGACGCTGACGCCGACGCCGATGCCGACGACGGCGACGCTGGCGCCGCCGCAAACGCCGACGCCGACGTCGACGTCGACGCCGACGCCGTCGCCGTCGCCGACGCCGACGCCGACGCCGACGCCGACGCCGACGCCACGACGCCGACGCCGACGCCGACGCCGACGCCGACGCCGACGACGACGTCGACGACGACGATGGCGACGGCGGCGGCGACGAGGACGCCGACGCCGACGCCGACGCCAACGCCAACGCTCACGCCGACGCCGACGTCGACGCCGACGCAGATGCCGGCGCCGACGCCGATGCCGACGCCGACGCGGACGCCGACGCCGACGACGAAGACGACGACGGCGACGACGACGACGAAGACGACGACGATGCCGACGACGACGTCGGTAACGGCGGCGGCGGCGACGACAACGACGCCGACGCCGACGCCGACGCCGACGCCGACGCCGACGCCGACGCCGACGCCGACGCCGACGCCGACGCCGACGCCGACGCCGACGCCGACGCCGACGCCGACGACGCGCGCAGGACGGGCACCAGGCGCGGGACAAGGTGGTGGCCTGGGTGGAGTTCCTTCTGCAGCGGCTGCAGGGCAGCCCGGGCCCGGACATCGCAGCCTGCCGGGCGATCGCCGGGGGAGATGGCCAAATATTCACGGGGCGGCGGCGGGGCTGGCATGACTGGGGGGATGGGGGGTCGGGGCTCAAGGGAGGGGGTTCAATGCATTCGGGGGTCAGCCAGAGCGCCGGATCCCTGCAGGGCCAGGATGGCATTGACCCAGGCTTGGATGCAGGATCCTGCAGGATCCTGCAGAGGCTGACCGATCCGGGCCTGGATTGACCCGTGACAGTAGATCCCCGAGGGGGACAGTCACCACCCACCAAACCACCCCAACCCAACCCGAAGGCTCAGATTTACCCTCGATTTCCAGTGGGGGGGGGGTCGGGAAACATCGAAAAAACACGCGTGGAACCCTTACCCCCCCCAACCCGAAATTCTGGTCTTCGGGTTGGGTTGGGGTGGTCTGGTAGGTAGTCACAGGGGGGAGGGGTGAGAAAGGATGGACCCAGGGACCTGACGTTCCAACAAAGATTGGAGCGGCGGGTTTTTGGCAGTTTGCGGCCTCGGGGGGCCCTCGCGGGGCCTCAGGACCGCCGAAAACCGACTCGGGACGAGCAGCCCGCCCTAGGGAAAAGGTCCAGGCCTCCAGGGCCCACGCATCGAAAACTTGGAGCGGCTGGATGTCTGGGGGGGAACAGGAGGAGGAGGAGGAGGAGGAGGAGGAGGAGGAGGAGGAGGAGGAGGAGGAGGAGGAGGAGGAGGAGGACGAGGAGGAGGAGGAGGAGGAGGAGGAGGAGGAGGAGGAGGTAGAGGAGGAGGAGAAGGAGGAGGAGGAGGAGCCGGTTTTGGCAGCAGCAGCAGCAGCAGCATCTCCATGAGCGGCAGCAGGTGGCGCCGCGGCTCTAGCGCGCGGCGCCTATCGGTCGCCCAGCGCGGAGGGCGCTGCGCTGACCGCCGAATGCGCCATGACTGCGACCGTGTGCCTCGGCGCCTTGGCAGCCACAGCGCCCCGCGCTGCCCTGTCCTATTCACACTCCCCTGCCTCTGCCATTCCTTTTCCTCTTTTCTTATCGTTATTATTTTTACATTATGCTTCTGCTTATTCTTATTCTTCTTCTTGCGGCTCCCCGACGTGATCAAATGGGGCAGATTAGAATGAGGAGGGGAACGGTGGACTTAGGAGGGTTTGGAGGAGGGACTGAGCAACAGCAGGAGGAAGACGAGTAGCTGAATGTGGCGGTCGAAGTTGAAGATGATGGGAGGACGAGGAAGCCCGATGTTGCTGGAAGGCTGGTTGCGATTGAGCACCTGCGCCCACAGACAAAGTCGCCTTGGCCGAAGACTTGTGGAAGGCGCCCGGGGTGGTCAGGAGGGCGCCGTCCCGAGGCCAAAGAGCATGAAACACAACAGACAGCTGTTTTGCCTCCCCAGGGGTGAGGGGAGGGAAAGATGGCACAGCTCTCCGACTGCCCTCGGTCAGGACGTGGTTAACCAGGTTGTGGAGGAGTGCCTGTCGGCGCCGTTTCAGAAGTTCGTCCCGCTGATGGAGGAACTCTCCCCGTGCTCGTCGCTCATCGTCGTCGGTCGGGGTCTTCGTCTTCGCAGTCGCCATCCCCGTCCGTCTCCTCGCTTTCGTGCTCGTCTTCTTCGTCGCAGGTTCCCCTGTGTGAGCTGCATAATCCTCCCCAGAGGAGGAGGAGGAGAAGCAGGAGGAGGAGGAGGAGGAGGAGGAGGAGGAGGAGCAGGAGCAGGAGCAGGAGCAGGAGCAGGAGCACGAGGAGGAGGAGGAGGAGGAGGAGGAGGAGGCGGCGGCGGCGGAGGAGGAGGGGAGAGGAGGAGGAGGAGGAGGAGGAGGAGGAGGAGGATGAGGAAGAGATCAGGAGGATCAGGAGGAGGAGGAGGAGGAGGAGGAGGAGGAGGAGGAGGAGGTAGAGGAGGAGGAGGAGGAGGAGGAGGAGGAGGCGGAGGCGGAGGCGGAGGAGGAGGAGGAGGAGGAGGCGGAGATGGGGAGGAGGAAGAGGGAACGGAGGAGGAGGGTGACGAGGAGCAAGGGGAGGAGGATGATGGTGCTGATGATGCTGATGACGATGATGACGATGATGATGACAACGATGACGCCGACAAACGATGATGATGCTGCTGATGCTGCAAATGGTAATGATGGTGGTGGTGGCGATGCTGACGGTGATTGTGTTGCTGATGGTTGTGGTGATGATGTGTTCAAACATGGTGATGATGATGATTATGATGGTGATGGTGATGGTGATGGTGATGGTGATAGTGACGGTGATGATGCTTATGATGCTGCTGATGTCGGTGATGATTAGGTCAATGATGATGGTGGTGGTGGTTATGATGGTGGTAATGGTGATGGTGATGGTGATGATGTTGATGACGATGACGACGATGATGATGATGCTGGCGATGTTGATACTGATTGATTATGATGATGGTGATGTTGGTGTTGATGGTGATGCTGATGGTGATGGTGCTGATGCTGCTGCTGCTGGTGAGCATGATTATGACGATACCGATGATAAGGATGCTGCTGCTGATGATGATGACGATGCTGATGACGATGATGCTAGCGATGATGATGGCGATGGTGATGCTGATGCTGATGATGAGGATGCTGATCATGTTGATGACGATATCTATGGCGAAGACCATGGTCATGAAGATTCTGATGCTGATGATGACAATGATGATGACGATGATGAGGTTGATGATGACGTTGATGCTGATGAAACTGATGATGCGGACGATGCTGATGATCATGCTGATGCTGATGGTGGCGACGCCGATGCTGATGCTGCTGATGGCGATTCGTCTGACGGGTCTGATGCTGCTGCTGCTGCTGCTGATGCTGATGATGATGATGATGACGATGTTGATGATGATGATGATGATGCAGGTTATGACGATAACGATGCTGATACTGATGGTGATAGTGCTGATGATGCTGCTGCTGCTGATGGTCATGGTGATGATGATGCTGATGCTGATGCTGATGCTGAGTATGATGACGATGCTGATGCTGATGACGACGATGCTGCTGATGACGACGATGCTGCTGCTGATGATGATGATGTCGCTGCTGCTGATGCTGACGCTCCTGCTGATGCTGATGATGACGAGGGTGATGCTGCAGCTGATGATGCTGATGATGCTTATGATGCTTATGCTCCTGATGACGATGGCTACGATGGTGATCATGGTGTTGGACATGCTGAGGATGATGATACTTATGATGCTGATGATGCTGATTGCGATGATGGTGATGGTGATGATGATGATGATGACGATGATGATGATGCTGATGGTGATGATGAAGGTGATGATGCTGATGCTGATGACGTTGATGCTGATGCAGACGCTGCTGTTGACGACGACGATGATGTTGCTGATGATGATGAGGTCGCTGATGATGTTGCTCATGCTGATGCTGCTGATGACGACGATGAGGCTGCTGATGATTATGACGATGCTGACGCTGATAATAATAATTATAATGATGGAATGATGCTAATGATGATGCTGATTACGAGAATGATGTTGCTGCTGCTGATGGTGATGATGATGATGATGAGGATGACGGCAAATATGGGAAGGATGATGATGATGCTTATGATGCTGATGATGATGATGATGATGCTGATGATGATGATGATGATGATGATGAGGAGGAGGAGGAGGAGGAGAAGGAGGAGGAGGAGGAGCAACATTCAAAGGAGGAGGAGGACGAGGAGGGATAGTAGACACAGGAGGAGGAGGAGGAGGAGGAGGAGCAGGAGGAGGAGGAGGAAGAGGAGTTGGGTGAGGAGGAGGAGGAGGAGGAGGAGGAGGAGAAAAACGACGACGACGACAGAGGAGGAGAGAGAATGAGAGGAGGAAAAGGAGGAGGAGGAGGACGAAGACCAGTGTAAGCCCAAGACTCATCAACGATGTTGAAATACACCCTCCCTCCAAGATCCCTCTTCATAGGCCCCTACAGGGAGTCATTTCCACAGGGAAGTGCCCCGTTGGGGGACAACCGTATGAACATCTTAATGCGCTGCGAAACATCAGTTTCAGAACTTTGTCACCACGAGTTGACCTAACTGTTATGTCTATGTCTTGGCGATCCAGAAGCGTGCCAGAACACCGTTCCTGGGACATCAGTACCGCGAATCAGCGTAACTGCTGCGCCCTGACAATCCTGAATCGTTCCGAAACACAATTTCTGCTACGCTAACCATGGGTAGCCATGAGAAGCAGTGGAACTCTGGCAAAACGAATGTGCGCGGTGCTCATGCGAGAGCAACGTTTTGAAAAGGAACTGCCCTCAGTCCGTGAAACTCCTGCAATTGTTGAGAACGAATGTGCGCGGCGCTGAGGCGAGAGCCACCTTTTGAAAATGACCCGCCCTCAATCCGTGAAGCTGTGGCACAACATGTTCGAACGAATGTGCGTGGCGCTCAGGCGAGAGCCACATTTTGAAAAGGAACCGCCCTCGATCCGTGAAGTTCTTGCCAATTTCTAAAGCGAATGTGCGCGGCGCTCAGGCGAGAGCAACATTTTTGAAGCGACCCGCCCTCCATCTGTGAAGCTGTTGCCAATGTTTAAGCTTCAGGGTCATACATTGTGATGAAGTCTCAAGCGAAACGTTTGGCCCGCCCTTTCGACTGGCCTCAGGGTGCGACACGGATGAGTTATCTTTGAGGAAAATTATGGAGGAGCAGGAGGAGGAGAAAGAGGAGGAGGAGGAGGAGGAGGAGGAAGTGAGGAGGAGGAGGAGGCGGAGGCCTCCCCCTCCATCCCCCCCCCTCCCCCCTCGCTCTCTCCACAATTACCCAATATGAATACTACTCTCCCTCTTCCCCTGATGGCGTGCTGGGAGTGGCCGACCCCCCCCCGCGTACTGTTTTTTGCACACAGGATTCCCGGGAGTTGGGTTTTCGCCTCATGCTGCTCTCGCTGAGGCGCCGGCCTCATTTCTGCTCCCGAATCGTTCCGAATCGTGCTCCCGCTGCAGCGTGGGCCTCATTTTCGGATCGGTGTTTGGCCTCCGTCGTTCAGGATGGCGTTCTCGCCCCAGCGCGGGCCTCTTTCTCGCGCGCCCATCCGCCCGCCACCACCGCGCCGCACCACCACCACCACCACCACCACCACCACCACCACCACCACCACCACCACCACAACCACCACCAGCACCACCACCACCACCACAACCACCACTAGCACCACCACCAGCACCACCACCACCACCACCACCACCACCACCACCACCACCACCACCACAACCACGCACACACGCACGCACGCAGCACGCACGCGCACCACCACCCACTATGCACGCGCGCGCGGAGCCACAGGTCCGCTACGACACGCGTCCGCGGATAGAGAAAATCAGCGCCATGATAAGGGATGGGAGGGAGGGGTAGGACGTCAGATATGACGCGAGCGTACCTAGCTTGCCTCCATCCCCTCCCTCCCCCCCCTCCCTCTCAGCACCTCCCAGTTCGGGCCGCCCCGGAGGAGGGCCTCCGCGCTCGCCTGGCCGACGGCCTCGGCGGCCCGCTGCAGACCGTCAGCGAGGAGACGCAGAAGCGCCTAACTGACGGGCTGCCGCTGGTGCTGACCAGGAGCGGGAGGAGGAGGAGGAGGAGGAGGAGGAGGAGGAGGAGGAGGAGGAGGAGGAGGAGGAGGAGGAGAGGGTGCTGTGACGGCGGCGGCGGCGGCGCGTTCCCCGCAGTGCGGAGCGCACGGGAGGGGCTCCCCATGGTCAGGCACGGGAGACGGACGTCCATCCATCCACCAGAGAAGTAAGAACCACTGCCGCCAGCCAGGGGGGCTGGCCGCTCTAAACCCTCCTTCCAAGTTCCCTCTTCACAGGTGCCTGCAAGAGTCTAGTGCCACTGCGGGGAATGCCAGATTGAAAGACAACTGTATGAGAACCCTCAACCGTGCTAAAACACAGCTCCTGAAACTTCAACGCCGCGACTGAGAACGTGACTGTTGCGTCCTGACAACCGTAAGCCGTGCCAGAAGAAGCATCCCTGAGATGTCAACCCCGCGGATCGGCATGACTGTGGCGTCCTGACAATATTCCAGAGTGTTAGAACACCGTTTCTGGGACTTCAACGTGCGCGTCCTTAAACCGGCTGCAATGTCTTACGGCGAATGTGCGCGGCATTCAGGCGAGGTCGACATTTGAAAGGGAGTCCCTCCGTCCTTGAAACGCTTGAAAGCTTTTGGGACGAATGTGCGCGGCGTTTGGCGGTATCGAACTTTCGTGAAAACCACCCGCCCTCAATCCTTGAAGTTGATGTAACATGTTAAGATGAATCATCCTTGGCGCCAGGGCGAGAGCCGCATCTTGAGAACTGCCCGCCCTCCATCCCTGGAGCTGCTGCAGCATGTCGAGACCAGTGTGCGTGGCGCTCGGGCGAGCGCCGCGTTTTGAAAACCGCCCGCCGCCCATCCTTGAAGCTGTTGAAATTTCAGGAGGGGAGAGGACACACAAAACACAATTAATCGTCGATTTCAGGAGGGGAGAGGACACACAAAACACAAAACACAGGAAAATATGGGAACTGGGGGGGAAGACAGAAACCCGGAAAATATGGGAAAAGATGGGGGATCCGGTCATTTGTGTGTATTTATTAGTGTGTCCCAGTTCCCCTTCATAATTTTCCATCTCCAGGGTCACACGTGGCCTGGAAGTCCCAGGCGAGATTCTCAGCCCGCCCTGCCGACGCGTCTGGGGGTGCGACAGGGAGGGGTCTTGTATAAGGAAAAGGGATGCAGAAGGAGTAGGAGGAGGATGAGGCAAACAGAGGCGGAGGAGGGGGAGGATGATGATGATGTGGAGGAGGAGCAGAAGGAGGAGGACTAGAAGGATGAGGGGGACGAGGAATAATGTGAGGAATGTGAGAATATTATTGCCACTACTACTACGACGATGACGACGACGACTACCACTACTACTACTACTACTACTACTACTACTACTACTACTACTACTACTACTACTACTACTACTACTACTACTACTACTACTACTACTACTACTACTACTACTACTACTATACTACCACTACTACTACTACTACTACTACTACTACTACTATTATTACTACTACTATACTACTACTACTACTACGACTACTACTACTACTACTACTACTACTACTACTACTACTACTACTACTACTACTACTACTACTACTACTACTACTACTACTACTACTACTACTACTACTACTACTACTACTACTACTACTACTACTACTACTACTACTACTACTACTACTACTACTACTACTACTACTACTACTACTACTACTACTACTAGGGCAAAACGTGGCCTATGTTACCGGATTCTGAGGACCTCCCCAGGATCGTGCTTCGGACGAGGCCGGCCGTCGTCGTCGCCGCCGCCGTCGTCGTCGTCGTCGATGTCGGTGTCGTCGCCCCGCCCCCGCGCGCCGCCTGGCGTGCCCGCCCGGTGGGAGGGGCAGGGAGGTAGAGGGACATTGGCGGGACGCTGGGCGGAGGACGAGGCCGCCGAGGACGACAATGATGATGATGATGATGACGATGATGACGACGACGACGACGATGATGATGATGATGATGATCGTGATGGCGGTGAGGATGATGATGCTGATGAGGATGATGACGATGATGATGATGAGGATGATGAGGACCATGATGAGGAAGGTGATAAGGATTGTGATGGTCATGATGATGACGATGATGATGATGATGATGATGACGACGTGGATGTGGCTGATGATGATGACGATGATGATGATGATGATGATGATGAAAATGAGGTGGACGAGGATGCTGATGATGATGATGATGAGGAGGAGGAGGAGGAGGAGGACGAGGAGGAGGAGGAGGAGGATGACGATGAGGGTGGCGAGGACGAGGATAACGAAGACGACGATGCGGAGGACGAGGATGAGGAGCACGAGGACAGGGTGGATGAGGAGGACGAGGACAGGGTGGATGAGGAGGACGAGGACAGGGTGGATGAGGCTGGGGACGAGGACGGTCGTCGTCGTCGTCGTCGCCGCCGCCGCCGTCGCAGCCTCCAGAGGAATTCCTTAATAATCTATTTGTTTTTGGATAGAATTTCAATAGGAAATGGTCGAGTCCCAGCCTCCAGAGGAATTTCTTAAAAATCTATTTGTTTTTGAATCGGATTTCAATAGAAAATGGTCGAGTCCCAGCCTCCAGAGGAATTCCTTAATAATCTATTTGTTTTTGAATAGGATTTCAATAGGAGACATGCGTACTAAGAGTATGACTTTTTTTTCGCCGGCGTCGTTCCCGAACCCGAACCCGAACCCGAACCCTTACCCTTTACCATTCATTCAAACCTGGTAACACAGACTACGTTTAGCCCTACTACTACTACAACTACTACTACTACTTCTACTACTACTACTACTCCTACTCCTCCTCCTCCTCCTCCTCCTACTACTACTACTACTACTACTACTACAACTACTACCACTACTAATAATGCAAATACCCTTGCAACAACAACAGCTACTACTACTATTACGACTACTACTACTACTACTACTGCTATCATCGCACATGCTGCTACTATTATTATAACAACAACTACTACCACCACGACTACGAACGACTATTACTACTATTACTATTTCTACTAACTACTACGGTGGCTACGACGTCTACGACCGCTACTATTATGACTATTTGTATTTCCGCTGCTACTACTACCACGATTGCAACGGCGACGACGACTGCCAGTACTACCTCTACTACTACTACTACTACTACTACTACTACTACTACTACTACTACTACTACTACTACTACTACTACTACTACTGTTACTACTACTACCACTATTACTACTACTACTACTACTACGACGACGACGACGACGACGACGACGACGACGACGGCGACGACGACGACTACGACTACGACTACGACTACGACTAACTACTACTACTACTACTACTACTACTACTACTACTACTACTACTACTACTACTACTACTACTACTACTACTACTAGGCAACGGCACGCCCTCCACGCCTGGGCCCCCACGAACGGCACACCCTCCACGCCTCAGGTTTTTCAGTGGGGAGACGTCAAGGTGACCGTTGGGCCCCCCAAACCAACACAAAACCAACAACAACAGAAAGAGGAGAGGAAAGATGGAGGGGTGTTTGTGGAGGATGCGAGGCTCTGCTCGCGAAACGGCCTCCACGCCTGGGCCGCCGCAAACTATTGTAAGGTGGCATTCAGCTACCATGAGACAACATAACATCACGGTACCGCGGAATCAGATGCCATCGATTTGGTATTAAACAAGATAGTATCAAGGTACTGTGGAATGAGATGTCATCAGGCTACCATGAGACAATATTGCATCACATTGCAGTAGTATGAGATGGCATGAAACTACCACGTTGCAAGACGGCATCAAACTACCCTGTTGCAAGATGACATCAAACTACCATGTTGCAAAACAGCATCAATGTACCGTGGTATGCGATGCCATCAAGCTACCATGATGAAAGATAGCATTAATGTACCTTGGTACGAGATGGCATCAAGCTGCCATGCTGAAGTATAACATCAACGTGCCATGATATGCGATGCCATCAAGCTACCGCGTTGCAATGTTAAGTCAAGGTACAAGCAGACAATACACAGACATATAGATGGACAGACATAGACATACACACATAGACAGACATGCGTATAGACATATAGATGACAGACAGCTAGACAGAAATATGTATAGACAGGCAGGTAGCTCCTCGTCGTCCTCCTCGCCCTCCTCCTCAGATCCCCCCCTCCTCGTCTGTATAGGCATATGTATAATATATATTTATACACATACATATACATAGACAGACAGAGAGGTATACACATAGACAGACAGACAGATGTACAGACGGACAGATAGACAAATATAGAGATAGGCACATACATATATATATATATACATACACACAAGACTGCAATGGCGCTTCGCGCCATGCACCTTGGTCCTTGAAATTTGGTATGCAGGCGGAATAACAGGAAGGACACGCCGCCAATTTAGCGAGAACTCGTTGTTGTTTTTTCCGGCATCGCCGCTATAATAATGTTTTTCGTTATCCTTCCTCCATGCTGGTTTTTCCTCATTTTCGCCATGCCCTGCGCATTTTCCCCATCCTCCTCAGCTCTTTTTGCGGAGGCTCCTCCTTGGAGAACCTCTGGGGGCCTCACAAAAGTTGTTTCAGGCTTTCCAAAGGCCTTCTGGAGGCCTCCTGGGCGTGTTCTGGGGGCCTCTGGGGACTTCCTCGGGCCACCCTGCCTCCAACCGCGGTCTCCCTGAATGACCAGGTCACGATTTGGAATGCTTCGGAGGGTGTCTTGGGGACATCTTGGGCCGCCATGGGGCTCTCCCCCCGGGACCCTCCCTGGGACCCCTCCCGTGACCCTCCCAGGGACCCCCCCCGGCGGGGGAGGGATCAAAGGGAAGGGGCTTCCCGTCGACTCAATGACAAAGTTGCTCTTAGGGGGAGGCCCTGGAAAAAGTGGCAAGGGAGCGGCAACGGACCCAGGGAAGAGGATGGAAGGGGAGGAGGGGAGACGGGCCAAGGGAAAGGTGAGTGCAGGGGCAGGAGACGAGTGGCCCAGAAAGGGTGGGCGCAGGGACAGGAGACGACGGAGAGGACGACGAACGAACGACGGGAACGGACAAGCCCCTCACACACGCCGACACAGGGTCGGCGGATTTCATCATGTTCGCCAGGCCCTGAATCAGAGGTGGTATCAATCGTGATGTTGAAAAACGACGACGCTCTCAACGAGCGAGAGAGACAGAGATATATTGGCGAGAGGTGTATGGCACAGTTGTCATCGGCGAGATGGGACAGTTCGGGCTCGACCGGGCAATCGTGAGGTCGCAGGAGAACATGGGCAGTGGATAGGTCTCATCCACGCCTGGATCGGAGATAATGAAGCCTGGGATGCTGACGATGTCATGGGCATTCTAGGCATTGCCCTGGACCTTGAACATGACACGGCTGACCCTGAAGCGGCAAGCCTGGCAGAGGCAGCACTCCAAGCCCGAGATGATCTCGGTTGGAAGCAGGCAGCCCAAGCCCCTCCCCTCCCTTGTATTACGACATCTGGAGTAGCCAAAGCTGCCGCTGTCAAAGCTGGCGGTCCGTCCGCAGCCGAGGTCCAGGCCTACTCTGCCGATCGGGGTTCTCGGATCGGGTGGGTGGGCGGGGATGGCCGCGCTCTGCAGCAGACCGAGCTGTGATTCGTGGTGCTACCGCACCCCGAAGCCACGGGCCGCGACCAGAAGCCGCCCGCCACGGCCAGAGCCCACGAGCTGCGACCAGAGCCCACGAGCCACGAGCAGAGAGCACCGCGAGAGACCACGGGCTGTGATTTCGGCCTCGGGACGCGTTGTCGAGGGAACGATCTGTCGGATGGCTGGGTTCGACAAGAGGAGGGTGACGAGAGAGAGAGAGAGAGCGAGAGAGCAGGAGGTTCTTTCCGCGACCACAGAGCCCGCAAGGGCCTCGCGACAGAAGAGCAGGAGGAGGAGGAGGAGGAGGAGGAGCAAGAGGAAGCGGAACAATAATAGGAAGAGAGGGAAACCCCCATAAGCCCAACATTGGCCAAAGACATACACAGACCCATTCGATCCCGTCGAGGATCGAGAGTCTCGTGGTCAGCTGCACGGCCGAGCTGAACGACTGGCTCACGTCGGCGCCGCGCTTTCCGCGCACCCCGATCGCGTTGGTGGACACGCTGACGAAGCTGGAGGGGAGGGTCTTCCGCTGATTCGTTCTCCCCCTCCTTGAATTTCCTCAAGTTATAGGACCCGAAATTCAAATGTTGAAGGGCGGCTCCTCGTTGAATGGGGCTGTCGGTTGAGAACTCCGCTCGGTTTCTGACCAGGCCTGTGATTGTTCAGCTTCGGCACTGATGGAAGGCGCACATTTATGTATATGTATGTCTGTATGTCTGTATGTATGTATGTATGTTTACGTATACGTATACGTAT